CAGCGTGTGACAAGTTGCGGAGACACAAAGTGCTGAGTGCATTTTTTCAATTGTGTGAGTGGGCGTACGGAGGGGTTTGAATGCTAGAAATGCCACAGTTACCCCAGAGAATGTAGTTACACATGATTCAGTTACAGTCGACGCCCTCTCCCACCTCTAAGAAAAGAAAAAATAAACAAATTAACCTCTGAAAGACCAAAAACAGAGTCAGCAAACTGTAGACCTGCTGTGCAAGCAAAAGAACTCAACAGAGGCCACTGAAGTAGAATTTCTTTTCCTCTATTATTTCCTCTCATACACACTCACTTACATACTCACAAGTTAGAGAGTGAATCTGAAAACTAAGCAAAGAAACGGCACAAAAAATTTTAACTGAGCAGATGGAAGCACTTCGGTGTGGTTTGATTTCCCGCTGGAATCATTAAATGAGTGTCAGGCCGATAATGTATGTGCAGTTTAAAGTGGGAAGAAGTGTGCAGCCTGACATCAGCTCACTTCACGCAGATATCATAATTTGTAGTTAGCAAGTGCAGAGGAAGCCCTGAAATTTATCTCGGCAAAAGTTATCTCACCGCTGTTGGATGGTCACCGCTGTCATCTAGAAGGCATCAGCATATTACTGATCGCTATCAAGGCTGCTGCAATATTTAACATCCTTAGTTGAATTCAGAGATAATAACCATGAGAGCAGATCACACGACAGATTGGTTGTGGAAGTTGCTCATAGGGTGAGGCTGTTTCATTTCAGACAGCAGCGTTGCTCCAACGTCTCAGAATTTGAGTTTATTCATTTGTTACTGGGGACTCGAAACTAAGTTCTGCAAAATGTTACGGCTGCATTATGAGATAAGTCTTAGCTTTGGAGCCATTTTAAGGGTTTTAAGAAATAGACCTCCAACAGCCATTAAATTTGGGAAGGGCACACACAAAATGTCTTAAGGAAAGGTCTACTGTTTAATTATTGGTATTTGAAATTTAGAAAACACTTTCAAACAAGGGTGGTATTGCGGCCCCAGAAAGTTCCTGTAAGTATATATATGAACATATCAATACACATTCCTACTAAAGAAAATACATCTTTGAATGAGAGGTAAAGCTGTCGAGGAATGATCAGCAACATTGCACATACAATAAAAACATACTCACGCCTATGCACACCTGTTTTTGTGGTCCTACGAGTGACTCCACGTCACCATTTGTGTAAACAGCAAAAAGCTGGAACTTTGGATTGCCACATTTGCCACAAATCAAATTAAACTAATGTTGGAGGCCTCATAAGTTGATGAAATGTTCAAAGACTGTATTTATGGTGTTTCCATGGTCCGCCTCAGCTCCACTCACGCTTCACCTCCTTCGGTCGGGCACTGCCAAGATGGCGACGGCTGGAGCCACCCCTCTAAGCTTCAAAACTGATGCTCAGAAAAAATATGGGTGTTGTCAATGTGGGTTCATCCATCTGTGTATACAAGCGATGTGTGTGATCCTGTGTAATTTGTTTTCATGACTCTCCTAATCTCAGGGAGATTTCGTGAACAAACTAACACGCGTCATTACAAAACAGCAATGTTCATAATTCATGAGTAGTGAAAAGCAATGACAGAGACGCCGCAGATTTCAGTGCTCGACTTTTCTTTGTTGTTTTTCAAACCGCAGATTCTTAAGAAACAAACACAAATCATCCAAGACACTGAAGAGAAAAAGCTCTGTAAAATTGGGCACCGTGGCCCGAGGATCAATAATCAAACAAACTATTCTTCTGTGGAAAAAAAAAAAAGTAAAAACACTTGATAAACAGCTGCAGTCTTTAGATGTACATTGCTATTGTGAGAGTAATAACAAACTGCATGAGACCAATTTCCATCCAGAAGAACTGGGGAGATAACGCGTTGTGCATTCTGCAATAGACTAATTCTGATATGAACCTATCTGCAGCAACAATTAACTAAGTAAAAAGCTGGCCAAGGATCATGGCTGGCACTGCTTAACAAGAAAAGGCAATATCTTGGTCCACATTCATTCCACAGACATACAAAATGATCCGTACTTCAGATATACAACAGACCCAAAGGTCAGCTTTAAAAGTAATATCAAAAAGTCAGCACTTCATACTGGAGATTTCTCTATCGTAAGGAGAACACATGCTTTTTTAGAACACAGGCAAAAATATATGAAAAGTCCTAATAACAGCTAGCAAGAAGTGAAATGAATTCATGGCATGTAGTCATGCGGTGCAGTATATAGTCCAGCCTTCATAATCGCCTTCTCTCCTGTGAGAACTCCCGATGATTTTGGGAGTGAACCGTCCTATTTGCATCAGGAGAAAAGTCAGACAAACCTGGGGATTGATAAAGAGGAGGCTATCCAATAATGATGAGATGTTGATGTAAAATTAATAAGACCCTTTCACAATCAGATCTGACCTTTCTGAGTGCTCCCATTTCCCCTGAATTTTTAAGGCGCATAACTAAGAGGCGAGTTCAGAGGGTGTAATGTGGCTCCAACATTTTCTTAACCTTTATTTATCATGGGAACAGCCTGGGAAGTTTGCTCTTCTCCACAAACACAAAGTTTGCTATTGCTACAGTTCTACCCCCATGACAAAAGTCACAGCTGCTGTGCAGATCTGCTTGAGCAGGTGAGATTTCAATGCCTTGCTCATGAGTAGGATTTATTTAAACAGGAAATAATACTACTGACTTCCCTAACCATGTTTTTAAGCTGTCAATCTGAGCCAGGACCTGTTACAGGTATATGTTTTATACAGGCCAGAGAGACCTTAGAAACACTGAGTGCTTTTATACTGCAAGATCCCAAATAACCTCCAAGAGGAACATAGAGAGGCATTTCAAATGCCCCGCAATCTCAGAAAGGACAAGTTTTCAAGTCCATCTTGAATTTTTCAGTACCTCTTCAAAACCACCTCAGTCCACCGTGAGTGTACCACATAAGCGACACACATTTATGACACGTGGGTACCTTGATTAGGTCTCCTTTTGACATTTTAAAGGCAGGTGCATAAGTGTCTCGATTAAAATAATCTACCAGGAGGAGTCAAAGTAAGCAAAACACTTGATCTTCCCGTAAAAGTCACTGCAGACGGGTTGAAAATGCTGCCAGCGACGCAGATGAGCTGCATTTGGGTGTTCACATACCTCTTCATTTGAGTGTGCACCTGTGTTTGTGCGTGCGGTGCCCCATAAATCACCATCACACAGCCGAGACTGCAACGACACATCTTCCCAATCATAAATTGGTGAGTGCTCGCAGAGTATGAATGTGTGTGTTTGTGTTATGAGTGGAATCATCCAGGCAACACACCGTGCTGACAGGGAATCCATCAAACACAAGTAAACACCAGGTTGTGTCTATAACTAGTGCACTATTTCCTGCACACCATAATTCACATCCATGATACAGATCCAATAAGCCCAAAAGCAGTTGGGTCCACAGGGGGATAAACTAAAAGGAGACATGGAATAAAAGGTACAGACAGCTAAGTATGTCACCTCAACTTAAGGTAAGAATATTTTGTGTCACTGAGTATAAAATATTCTACATAGGGGCGGCGAACCGATATATATCAGCCCACATTGTTCTGTCAGAGACATGTCCTATTGGCACATATGTTGTCCTATATGATTCTTTTCTGTGTGTGTGTGCAGAAGATAAGAAAAAGATGATAATTTAGAAACAGCCTCATCATACAGTTTGTCCATCCCTGACAATACTCTCAGAGCTGTCTGCAGCACATGTAGCAGCAGAGTCGATGGTGTAGTGGAGTAAAGCTGCTAACCGGCTTGTTAAAGGAAGCTAATGGAAAGCTAGTGAGCAATGCATATAAAAATAGGTTCTGGCATTGGATGCAAAAAGCAAGTATTAGTCAGGCTTTACTGCATCACATGGGTATATAAAAGGCAGATGAAATACGAAAGCAGTCCAGACATTTTCCATCTCCTGCTGAAACACACCTGAATCTACAACTTAAACCCAACCAAAAGAACCCTTTAATAAATGTAAAAACAGAAAGCTCTTCCAAGGCCCCCTACCAGTGGAGGCACGAATACATGCATAAACAGAGAGAAAAAGAAGCAAGAACGGGGGGGGAAGAAGAGACGAGGAGCGAAGGCGAGGAAAGGTAAGGGATAAAGGACAGACTACTGTCGACACGAACACAGCGGGCAATGCCCCTGGTAAATGCTGTGCAGTCAAGCGGCAATGCCAAACATGGGACTAGAGGATCACGGAGGAATACACGGTGAGAGCTGACATATTGAGAGAGACTGTAAAGAAAAAGCTGGATCCTCAGATGAGACTGGGATAACCTTTACCTGTACCGCTATGGACTTCTCTACACTATAGGTCGTAACACAGCCTCAGCAGGAGGAAAGCCTACTACCAGTTAAGCCAAGCTATGGCTTGCTGGGAATGCAAATGTAATTTATTTCAATTTAGGGGGAAAGAAGAAAAAAAGAAGAGAACGTGTGTGGGCCACTATGGGGACCACAGTCAAAAAGTGCTGCTGCTGCGTGTTGGTTCTGTATTGTGAGCAAGATTAATTATCTCATAGTGAAAGGCTGTGATACACTGTGCTTCTTACTGAAGTAATAACTTTTTTTTTACTTTTTCTCAATCACTTTCTCCATGCTCTGCTCCCCTCCTTCATTTCACTCTATTAAGGAAAATCTGAAGAATCCCTTGTCAAGAAAAAAGGCATTCTCCACAGACGATGAGACTGCTCAGGAAGGGTTGTGGGTAAAAACGTACGTGTGAGCATGTGTGTACCGAGCACTGTCACATGTCATTTTCATCACAGCACGATGTAGATACTTTATGTTTTATTCAAGTTCCCTCTTTATAACCAAAAAGAAAAAAAAAAAAAAAGGAGAGTCTTCACAAAAGAATCTAACCAACTGAATCTTGCAAAAAGCACAACTCCTGACAGAATGGATCAGCGTTAACGGACTCATGGACCACACACATACAAACAGTGGCGCCCTTACCGTGCACAGGTCCTTGTACTGCATCTTCTGGAACTTGGTATCAGCGTTTCCGGCACACAGCTCAACGTATCCCAGCACCACTTGGAACACTGTGTTGTGGATGGCCTGGGTGAAGTGCATGTGCAACTGGTCCATAGCAGTCTGCAGAGAGTGCCAAACACACTGTTATGAAAACTATCATGTCAAGATGTCACTGTCAGTCTGCCAGTGTGAATCTGTGAAGAGGCACAAGGCAGGGAAATTGCAAATCAAACTTTTTGGAGACACAAACTATATTACTTGATATTTTTTTTTTAAAATTATCTGCAGACATGTTATGCTAGCTAAACGACATGGCACAGAGAAAACCAAGGATGGCAGTCCACCCTGGGAACTGCGATGTTCGAGTCCAAGTAAAAACTGGCACTTTTGTCTCCAATTTCCATGATTCACGTCTCGGTGCAGTTCACTGCGGAAAACATAATTAATGAAGCAAAACGGACATGGAACAAATATGAAACACGGTGGCTTTGTAAGCATGTGATCTGGAGTTTTATTTGTGTCCACCTGATGGTTCTCCGTTCAATATTCTTTTTGCTCTGATGCTATTTTCACTAACTCCTGTGGGAAATTGCTCCACTATGTTTAACAGCTAGTCACCAAACAATATGTTTTTGACAAATTGTTGATTTAAGTGATTTTGATGAACTATAATGATGCTAAGCTTAGATGAGTAGTTCAATGACCATAAGAAAGTTGAAAATTGGACTTTTCTTTAAGTTTTTACAGATAAATGGTGAGAATCTTTAAAAACACTTGACATAAAACATGGTCATCTGAGCCAATGTAGCAGCCGCTTTAATACATTATGATTTCTTCATTACTGTATTTTCATCCATCCATTATCTATTCACCGCTTAATCCTCACTAGGGTTGCGGGGGACTGGAGTCTATCCCAGCTGACTCAGGGTGAAGGCAGGGGACACCCTGGACAGGTCGCCAGTCCATCGCAGGACCACACTTAGAGACAGACAACCAAGCACACTGACATTCACACCTACGGACAATTTAGAATCACCAGTTAGCCTCAACATGATTTTGGACTGTGTGGGAGGAAGCCAGAGAACCCGGAGAGAACCCACGCTGCACGGGGAGAACATGCAAACTCCACGCAGAAAGATTCCGGTGTCCTCACCAGGACGCGAACCGCCAACCTTCTTGCTGCGAGGCAACAGTGCTAACCAACTGCGCCACCCTGCAGCACCCATTACTGTATTTCTCATCAGTAATTAGAGATTTCATTTTGCAGGTTAATCCAATAATAAGAATAAGAATAAGAATAAGAATAATAAATTTTATTTGGAATGCACTTTTCATTTCAATGAAATCTCAAAGTGCTACATTAAAGATGTAAAAGGATTTAAAAAAAAAAAAAAAACAAAGAAAAATAAAGAAAATCTAAATTTCAGGGACACATTTAATTAAACACTTTGTTAAAAGAAAGATCTTTAAGCCGTTTTTAAAGACATCTACTGTCTGTGGAGCTCTCATGTGGTCATCCAAATGTTCCTCTTAATAACAATTTCACACACACACACACACACACACACACAAAAGCAGTGCCATCTTGCTCTGCCGCACTGTGCTCCGTTTGTGTCTTTCTATTTTGCGCCTGCTATCCTTTATTCCCTTTCAAAGTAAAGTTGCATCCACGACCATTTTCTGTTTCGCAGCTCCCACCCCCTCTCTCAGTGTGGGACTCCTGAGAAATGAGGACATCACAGTCGTGAGACACGTGGGCACAGTATTGAGAAACGCCCTGGGTAATGGGTGTTACAGCGCAATTTGATTTTCTTACCACAAGCTCAAGACCACAAAATGTTGTCCATATCCCGTCTGACTCCCCTGCTGCCACAAAAGTAATTTAAACATTTCTCCCCTTCTTTCTGAGGGAGTTTCACTTCATCTGTCTGAAAAAATAACTTGAAATTCGCTGGCTGTACAACGCCTGGACTGGAGAGAAATAAAGAGGGGGGCAACTATGGCAGCTCCCAAAATAACATTACTAATCTCCAGCCACCAGTCTTTATAGACGTAACTACGAATAAACTGCACAAGAAAACAGACCCATTCCTCTGCAGGTATTGAAACCAAACAAGCAGATGTTTCACCAGATAAAAAACAGGCTGATGACAGGCTACTTAGGCTGAGAGAAACCAGCGCATCGGAGCCAGGTAATGACAGCGGGAGACAATGTGAGAAGATATAAATGGACTAACGTTGTTTGTTAAAGTATGTTAAGTGCTTTGCGAGGGTGATTACCACCTCGAGTGACACAGGTCGTTTGTGCGTTGAACTGAAAGGCATCAGATTAGAAGTGTGCATATGTTAAAATTGAGATTCAAACACAAACTAGAAAAATCCTCTCGGGGTGACCTGATGGTGGTTAGGGCACATACCACATGGACGTCTATACCCTGAGCAGCGGATCTCCAGTTCGACTCCCGGCTGAGGACCATCTGCTGCGTAACACTACCCTGCTCTGCCTCCCATACTCTCCACTACCCCTTTCAAAATAAAGGCAAAAATGCCCCCAAAAAAATGTTATTTAAAAATCAACTACCTCCTATTTGTATTCTTCTACCAATAAGTCCAGTTGCAGTAACATCCACATCTGTTTAGACCTATATAATATATATAGCAAAGACTTTGAAGTGTGCCAGTTCATTGAGAGAAACACACTCCTCAAATTCGATGTATGTGTTTTGCTGATTTTCCAACACAAACGTTGTAGCCTTGACAGTAAATAATGCTTCAAATATGGCATCTACTGCAAAACCCAACAGCGCAGAACATCTGTACAAACACCACAGAATCAACAAAGATTCAAATCACTAATTTGGCACAGGGACAAATGTGAAATATGGTCACAACCTCTCCTTCTGTTCCTGAGTTATGTCGTTGAAAAATGGGTTTAAAAATGAGTTTTTACAGAATATTATGATGTAGCAGTAAAACTGAGCTTTGGCTTTTAACACAAACTGTCATCTCTGAATAATTTTATCCTGTTAAACATGTGTGAAATGTTGTCATAATTAGTGAATGAATGCTTGAGTCACGGCCAAAACAACATGTGCCAGTGACCACTAACCACCAAAACATAATCAGATCATCCAAGTGGATCCTTGTGCCAAATCTGAAGAAAATTCCTCGAGACGTTATGTTTGCAAGAATGAGACAGACGGACGGACAAAAACGCAGGGCCTCAGGTCACAGCTGTCAGCAGAGCAGTGGCATAAAAAAAGGCTAAATGTGACAAACACAGATGCACAGAAGGTGTAACAAACAGATCAAGACAACAACGAGCACTAAGGGGAGATGGCAAGATGTAGCGAACGACAACAACAGCTCCTTAGTTTGCTTCAGTGTCTGCAAACGCTCGCTATCACAGAGACGCTAAAAGTCATTATTCATTCTCAACAAGCCTTGATGGTGCAGCCTCCTCCTCCTCGGCGATGCCTTCTAATGTCAGGAGACGCGCAGCAGATTTATCAACGTCAGCGCCGGCTCCGGTTGTGAATGCCAGTGACGTGCTATGTTCATTACCGAGCGTTAACCTGAAACGAGCGTCTTTTCTGGTTGATCCAATAAGCTAACAATTACACTTTGAATTTTAATTTTTACTTTAACTTCTCAAAAGAAACCCTCAAAAGCTGATATTGCCAAAGGTAAAGTGGAGAATGTGACATAATTCGATTTTCTAATGTCTGTCCCACTAATTTGCAGATATTAAACTGGTTATGTAACACTTTAAAGCTGTACAGTGAAGTGCCATGTTTGTTAATCTACCCCATGTAACTTCATTTTTGGAAATGGGAGCAAAGGTTGAAAGACAGAAAGAAGGTAGTAATGAATGAGATAATCTGTGTCACTAAAGGTTACAGCTGATTTTATTCCACCCTGAGTGTTTTTAATAGTATTTTTTTTGTTGTAGTTCTTAACGTAAAGACTTCACAGCTTCTAATAAGTTGCCGTACCAGCCAAAAAGTCTTCCATATAAACAGGCCGTGTGTGACAGCGTCATCTCGGCTGATTTTTAGAGAGCTTATTTTGTATTTTCCGAGGATTATTTTGCAGAGTTTTGACTCCTTTTTGTGGCTGATTTCTGTGGATGACGGATGACTGACAGTAAGACCCCGAATTTACTCACTAGGGTGAAAACATGCCACAGTGGCAAAAAAAGGAATAATGATGTTTTCTGGGAGGGTTTAACCGGCCTGTCAGTGGAAGATTTTTCATATATATACAGTTAAAATCTAAAAGGTGACATAAGGTTGTGAACATAAGTTTGCCAACTAAATGGACACAAACCAGAAAGAGTAAAGGAGAGCAAATAGGAGAGGATCAGCCAACTTACTCAAAAAAAAATCCCTAAAGTTGCTGACATTTTTATTTTTTTAATTCCCTCAAAAAGTTCCCAAATAAGTAGAAGGAAAGAGTAAAAAAAAAAAAAAAAAAGAGGACATATGTAGCAATATGCTCAGCTATTCCCAGTGACCCTGTAGACTAGTAAAACCACTGACCTGTGTTTTACCCAGGAGCGTGTAGGCCAGCTGGACCTTGGTGTAGTGCGAAACATCAAAGTGCTTACAAGTCTTCGACAGGGCGACATCAAGCTGCTCCTGAAGCCAGAAATAGACAGATGACAAAGGAAAAGACGTGGGGAAAGTAAGGGGAAGAAAAAAAGACAGGGATTAGCAACATTAAGACCAGGGATTTAGATATAGATGTGCAGATGTAAAGTTAGCACACAAGGCCAAGGGCATGTAATTGGATGTGGGTATATATATATATATATATATATATATGTGTGTGCGTGTCTTTGACAAAGAGATAAGAAGAGAGGTAAAGAAACTAAGACAAAGTTGGAAGGAAACTAGGAAGCAGACCAAAAAGCCGACCTCAAAGAGAAGAGCGCTGACAAAGACTAACTGATCAAATGTCGTACGTCACAAAGCATTTTCTCAAGCCTTCTGTTTAAAACTGCACTCGAGACTGCAGCTGACACAATAAACAAATACAAGAATTATATTAAGGAAGTAACTCGTCAGTAATGTGATTAAAGAAATTCAAAGTGTGTTGGATGACTGAATAAAAAGTATATACTGTGGATGGGTATACAATACGGAACAAAAGTGAGTCAGATGATTTAAAATTGTATCACCCCTCAATTATTGCATTACTTCTAACAGTTGTGTATTTGTATTAAAAATAAAAAATTAAAGGTCCCACAGTAGGAACAAAATGTAACAAAAGTCAGTGCTAAGATTCAAACATTGTATTTTTTCCAATACTTTTAATGCTTATCTTTACTTTTGATGATGGATTTATCTTAAAACATTTGGCTCGGAAGATGTTTTTACTTTATCTATCTATATCCTTTTATAGAAACTGGTGTCAATTTGGCATGTTGGCCAAGCTTCTGCAAACTGGGAGTCATCTTGTCAGTGACATCTTGTCTCTATTTTGGTATATCTACAGGAATTTATAGTGCCACTCAAATGTAATCCTCCCAACACCTTTGGCACTCATGAAGTCCCAAATCATCACAGCTCCACGTTCACCGAGCTTCACTGTCAGGACTATGTATTCATTGTGTTACTCCTGATCAGGTTCATGTAATAAAAACGTGCTGGACCCCATCTGAGCCGAATAAATGTATGTGGGTCTGAGCAAAGAATGTGCATCCAGTATTCTTTAGGCTTAATTTTATGTCATTTAGCACAGTTTAAACTTGTAGTCTTGTGCCTGATTAGTGATACTAAGGCTTGTTCTATACCTCCTGATTACTGCTGCAACTGTGTTCAGGCTGATTCTGAGCTGGTCACTAATCCTGCATCCTTTTCTATTTTTATGAATCAGATGTTTCAGTTCCTCTGGAAACTTGTGCAGATAGACACAGCACATAGGTGCGAAACCAGTAAAGTTCTGATGGTTTTATAACCATGTTTATGCAATTAGGCTAGTTGGAAATCACAGGTGACCACATGTTTTTTACTTTGGAGTCTGTATTTTCAGCATATTATTTCTGAGGTATTTGTTTTTGGTTGTTCTTCAGAGGAAACTTGTCAGCCTTGAAATAATGCCATTATTGAGAGGTGATACAATTTAAACCATTTCATATTTAAGTGACATTGCACACTCACTTCTGTTGTGTGTTATAGGAAGAGCATTTGTGTATTTGTACATATTTTCTGTAATGAAGCACACTTGGAGGGGCTCAAATGGAGCAGTAAGCCCCTGACTGTGAGCCACATGTTCCAAAAACCTATTTACTAGAACTGACTTGCGTGACTGTGCTTTGTGCACATGTTTACTTTTATGATTTTAGAGGATTTCGAATTGCTTATTCTCTGACTCATGCTGACAGGTAAACAAACAAGCACCTTAGCAAGTGGCTAATCTATGTGTGCGCACATGCACTCCTCTTTCTTGTGTACAGACAAAACGGTAAATAATTAATCTACTCGAGCGTAGCAGCGGTGCAGAGAAAATTGCTTTGCATACCATTTATCACGCCCAAATATCACGACACAGAGATGAAACAGATATAATTTACTGTGCTTGCACACTCACAATAATGACTTTCTGAATGTGTCAATATTTGGCAGACCCAGAATGAGAGAGGCAAACTATCAAAATGTCAAAATGAAGTATAAATTGCTTCTTTCAGGTGACGGCTCCTGGAAAATTACATGGTTAGGGCAAAATATTATGCACTGCTAAATGTCTCTTTACCGGTATTGCTCGCAGATAATGGAATTACAGACAATGCAGGGAGGCACATACCTCGATTTGCTCTAGAGTGTCTTGCAGTTTGGAATTCAATTCACTGTGAAAGAAAAAAGAAGAGGGTGAGTGTTGAGTCAGTTCATTTTCATTATTAAACAACAGATTAAATATTTTTTATGGAAGGCATTTATCAGATGTTAAAAAATGTCAAAATCTGTTTTGAAAATAAATTAAAGTCTAAATTATGTAACAGATACAGATAAATAATAATTTATACTAAGAATTCAGTTATTTAAAAATACAATCAATCAGTTATTATTCATTCTTAACATGTCAAATTATTTTTTTCTTTTTTCATCAATTGTTTTTCTTTAATTCTTTAATAAATCCATCCATCCATTATCTATACACCACTTAATCCTCACTAGGGTCATGGGGGGCTGGAGTCTATCCCAGTCGACTCAGGGTGAAGGCAGGGGACACCCTGAACAGGTCACCAGTCTATCACAGGGCCACACTTAGAGACAGACAACCAAGCACACTCACATTCACGCCTACGGACAATTTAGAATCACCAGTTAACCCCAACATGTTTTTGGACTGTGTGGGAGGAAGCTGGAGAACCCGGAGAGAACCCACGCTGCATGGAGAGAACATGCAAACAGAAAGATCCCGGGTGTCCTCACTGGGATGCAAACCAGCGACCTTCTTGCTGCGAGGCAACAGTGCTAACCACCGAGCCACCTTGCAGCCCTAAATTCATTTATGGATTTGCCTTTTATATGAACCAGAATACCAGACAAACACTAGTAACACTATAACATAAACAGGGCAGTAAGTGGTGGATGTAACCACACTTTGAAAAGGCAGTTGTATTTTTTGTGTTCAAAGTGTTTGCCCTCTCTCAGGTCAAACAGTGACACCCATCACATAAATGTTGCTAACGCGTGTCTGTGTGTGTACAATATTATCCAAGACACAAAACACCTACGCATCCTTGGAGCATGCTCAGATTTTGCGTCACGCCGGAAATGCTTTCAACTCAAAAAGTTACACAGTGGCACCAAAAATCTCGACTATTTTGCAGATCCCAAGATATAAAATCCAATTCCCTTGTGATCCCCCTTTGTGCTGCATCCATTCATAATCATCCTGTGTTCCACCGCTTCCCCTGACTGTGTCCCTGCCTTGCTCGGGGTCTTTTTCAGGTCAGCCTGCTCTTATGTTGTTCCTTACGAGTCTGCAGTTGCCCAAGGGAGAGAGTGTCCTTAACAAATTGCTAATTAAGCATCTCGGCCTCGGTAAGGGATAGAGAGTGAGCGGAGAGAGGAGGAGAGGAGAAGGGGGGGGAGCAGAAAAGCTGAGAGGAGACTGCAGATTGAGTCCCTCATGTAATTTGCACGGCAGGTAACAAAATGAGCGTGTCGTTTCAAAACCTGATGCACTGTAACCCTGAGTGCGTTATGCATGTTTAAACACAGTGAAAGAAAGCTGTTAGCGCAACCGTCAAAACAAGACGACACACACATAATACTAATAACCACAATAGTCAGCAATAAAGGAGCATGTAGCTAATACTACACTGATCACGCAGAAGCAGCTATTTGAACTTCCCATGATAACTAGTCTGTTTACCATCAGTATGACACACAACAGCAAATGTCAGCTACAATAACCATTACTACCACACTACACCTAGATTCAGTAGGTGCCACAAGAATAATTCTGAGCTACAACACCAGAAGGCGAGTCATGGCCAGTATCCTCAGTGGAAACTTTGATTGGAAATACAGACAATAACACACAGAGGTTAGAAAGCTGGCTCAGCTAAACGGGGGTGAACTGATCAATGTCAGGTGCTGGCTACTGAAGAAAAGCATCTGAACGTTCACAAGAATGGCCCCGGAGAGTGCTAAACAAAAGCTCGCTCCTGGCAGCAAGACTAAGGAGATACACCAAAGGAGCACAGGCCAAGAGGATAAATGCCCAGTTATGGAACATTCTAGCGTACTCCCACACTGCAGCGTGGCAGAGTAACTGGAGCTGAACCACAAACTGAACGGTATTGGAAGAGCATATGAGAGAAAGGAGAAAAAAAAAAAAAAATCACCCCTTGTGATGAGTGCTAGAAATGTGAAAGTAAAGTGGGCTGCTGCAACTTCCCAGTAGAACCAGACACAGCAGAATGACGTCCAGCTAAAGGGGACAAACGCTACAACTTCATATAACCCACACTAAATGGCTAAACAAACTTAAAAAAAAAAAAAAAAACGATTCAGGTCAGATGAGAATATAGAGGTGATGCCACTCTCATGTCTGTATATTAAAGATGATGCTAGAGCCTGGAGATATTATAGATTGTAACGAAATTCTGTCTTATTTGTTGAAACAGAAAGCCTTAGATTAGCTTTTGTTTTGTGACCTTTGGACAAAACTTGTGCAGCAAACCTGTACAGCAAATAGGACGTTACAGACAGCAGGTGGTTATCTTGGCCAGGGTGAAAGCAGAGGGTAAAGGTTTTTCCCAAAGTTCAAAAATATGTCTACCACCACTGGTAAAGCTCACTTATATCATGCTTTCTTTAAAAAAAAAAGCCAACTCAATGGAATCCTTGCCAGTGGAACCAAGAAATAATTACCACACAGCATCCCCCATGAAACTAAAAATGATTATGTCCACATTTATATTTGTACATGGGGGCTGCAACGTGGCTCGGTGGTTAGCATCGTTGCCTCGCAGCTAGAAGGTCGCCAGTTCGCATCCTGGTGAGGACAACCGAGATCCTTCTGCGTGGAGTTTGCATGTTCTCCCCGTGCAGCGTGGGTTCTCTCCAGGTTCTCCGGCTTCCTCCCACAGTCCAAGAACATGTTGAGGTTAATAGAATAGAATAGAATAGAATAGAATAGAATAGAATAGAACAGAACTTTATTGATCCCTTTGGTGCAAACCTCAGAGAAATTGTTGATTGCTGGTGATTCTAAATTGTCCGTAGGTGTGAATGTGAGTGTGCTTGGTTGTCTGTCTCTAAGTGTAGCCCTGTGATAGACTGCTGACCTGTCCAGGGTGTCCCCTGCCTTCATCCTAAGTCAGCTGGGATAGACTCCAGCCCCCCACGACCCTAGTGAGGATTAAGCGGTGTATAGATGATGAATGGATGGATTACATTTATTTAAAAAAAAAGAAAGAAAAAGCTTAAGAGATGATGATTGGTTTATTTTTTTGCTTATGTTTGTTTTTTTCCTTTTGTACCACTTTTTTTTTTTTTTTTTGGCAGAGCCAGCCTAGCAGTATCCAAATTTCCACTCTTTCTGCTTAACTAAGCCAGCTGCCTGCTGGCTGCTGCTCCATGTTTAGCATCCAGATATAACAGTTGCATCAATATTCTCATCTCACCTTGAGCAAGAAATGCATTTCCCCCAAAGGCTGGACTATTATGTTGAAAAATAGAAGAATAAATGGACAGTTTCCAACAGCTGGGCCCCATATTATTCTCTACACAACCATTCAACTGCCAGTCAATAACTTGCACCTTCGTTCATGTCATCTGAATTCCTCGTACGTATCACAGCCAATACGGTAACCTGACCGATTTAACAGTGAAGTTCAAAAAAGGACTCCAAGAAAAACTAGTGCACTCATGCCACAAAATGAATCTATGAATAAATAGAACAATAAAAGGCCAACAAACTACCAAGAACTTTGATCTCTGTTCTTTTGAAGAATAACCACAAGAGGTCAACTGAAAGTCAATAACCGAGGTGACCTGCTGTTATTCTGTAGTCATCCCCTGTATTTATTACTTAATTAATGTCCACTTCGTACTCTTGTGCGCACAGATGTAGCTCCTCCCTATATACTGGCACCCTTCCATGATCAGACAGAATGCATAAATATCAGATGAGGAGAAAAAAAACCTTATTAACAATCTGTTCCCTGCAGGGGAACACAAGGACCGAAATAGAGTTACGTGGAAATCAAAGTTGTTTTTTTTCCCACCCCTTCTTTTCAATTATCACTGGAAATGAGCGTCCGTGGGGGCTGGAGGCGAGTCGCTCTGTGCTGACTTGCTGACTCGCGAAATAGGCAGTGTGTATTGTGCTTCCAAGGGTCTGCCAGATGCTCAGATTTTGTGCTCAGTCAACAAAGGGGCAAGGGAAGGGCTTCAAAGAGTGAAACACAGCGAGAGGGGACAACAGCAACCACAATTATGCAGGTGAGGAGGCAAAGGAGGTTAGATGAGAAGGTAGGGAGGAAAAGATTGAAAGATCGACGGAGTTTGGAGCAGTGAGAAAAATCG